CTCTTGTCACTCAAAAAAAAGTGCAATTCAAAAAAAAAAAAAAAAAAAAAGTTGAAGGGGCAGGGCTGGGTATTTAAATTTCGGCCATGGAAATGGGGTTGTTCCACAGGGTTTTCTGTCTCTGCACAGAAATCTGAATGTGTCATTGCTGCATAGGAAAAGAGAGAGATGTATCATTTATTGCCTGCCCTTTCAATGTAATGCCAACAAACCTTGCCCTCTTCTTTGGATTTCAGTGTAGTCACTATTTCTCAACTCTAATAAATAATACGGACTATATATATATATATAGCGTCATGTTCTCGTACAGACAGTGTTTCCCGTGCTGTCTGTCTCACCATTAGGTACCTATAAATGCACCACATAGTGTTCGAAAATGCACTATTAGGTGTGGTGCATTTCTTTTTGATGTGTGGTGCATTTTCTGGCGCACTAATACATCTCATTGTGATGCATTTTCAAATACATACGGAAAGTACCATCCGCATTTGAACCAATATATATGTGTGAGAGAGAGAAAGAGAGCTTTCATGTGCCGAACACACACGGTACGGGATATCAAAAATAGTATGGTAGTTATTTAATGAGTTGTGGTGTCTACTTCAAATGTTACTCTAGTTAACTAGGAGTATTTAATTAGTTATTACTAAAAAAATTTCTACCTAAGGTGGCATCACCTTATTGGTATGTAGTTAAATTTAGTTTTTATTGGTATGTAGTTAAATTTAGTTTTTAATTAGTAGTGGGATAACCAATTTATTGACCTCCAATGAATGAATGCCATAGGAGAGGAAAGTTGGAGGGAAAAATAGGAGGAGAAAATAGCATTTTCCTACCAAAAAAAAAAAAAAAAAAACGCACTATAGTTGATTTTAACAATGAGTCTTGATTGGTTCAAAGATTTTGAAATTTATTTTTAGTTTTAATAAATTAATATTTTTCTACCTAAATTCGTTTTCAACTTAAATTCATTTTTATAATTTTCTTTGTGTACAAAAAAAATTAACAATATATCATTAAAAAACTTTAAATGACATGCATTCATATTGACATTTTCTTAATAATAATAATAATAATAATAATAATAATAATAATAATAATAATAATAATAATAATAATAACATTAAGTCAAACAATTATGATTTCATTACTTTAACTTCTATGGTATACACTCCTCTATTAATTTATCTCATCCACTCTTCACAGAAGAATTCACACTAACTCACACAAGTAGTGGCCTACTGGCCTAGTGGGTACAAATTTCCACATCACAATTTCATTTTAATGAAAATTTGAGACAGTAAATTTGGTTCATACAAATAGTTTTATTAAAGTTTTACCCCTAAGAGTTAACTCATCATAATTTTTAATTAACATAAATGATCATGCTGATATCAGCATACTGTCATAATTGTGGAGGATAATTTAGTAAATTAATCTCCTACATCATCATTCTATTAAGTATTAACCTTTTCTCAAAAAGGATCTCAAAAGAGTGAACTTTTCTAAAAAATGATTTAAAGTAAGACAATAAAAAATTTATCGTTAGTAAAAATTATGATCTCTCTTAAATGAGGTTGAGATGATTTCAATTTATAATAAAATTGAGTTTATCCTCTATATATAGGAGAAGAATTATGTGAGAATCACATGTCTAGAAAAAGAATGAGAATCAATCGCAACCGTCTATTTGTCTTAGATCTAACAGATCAGAAATACTATTTTTTTTAAAAAATGCGGTGACATTTTCATAAATAATGAAACTTTGAAGTGTAAGTAAATTGTGCTAAAAGTGCAAATAACAGTTTCATAGAGTGCACCTAAGTGCAAGTAAAATGTATTAAAACTGCAACAAGTAATGTGCACTGAGCATCAATATAAAGTGCATCTAACGTTATCATTAGTTGCACTAAACGTTATCATTAAGTGCATTAATGTGAAAGACATTATTAGGTGCACTAATGTGAAAAAAAGGTAAATTACTTGCATTGTTAAGTGAAAATGGTTGCACTTTTAAGTGATTTTACTTGTACAATTGCATCAGTTACTTGCACTTTTAACACATGCATGTTATTTACAGTTTTACACCAAAATTTGAATTATTTACAAAAATATTACGGAGTTTTTTTTTTTTTTTTTTTTTTTTTTTTTTTTTTTTTTTTTAATTGCAGGGCAATCTCGGTAATCTTGTTTGCCACATGGACATCAACAGTGCTAGTTATTGTATATTTAAGATGGAATGTTACAACAAATTAGTATTAATTATTCATATTATGGTGACTATTAATTGTTGTGTATTCATTTGTTAATTGATTTTAATAATTAGGAAGAAAAATTAGTGTTTTGATTAGACCTTAATCATGAAGATTATTATGTCCCATGCTTGTAAGTTAATCTTACTTAATTCAAGCTTAGTTGTCCTAACCTAATATCAAATCATTGTTTAATGGAATAATAATTATTATGAATGTGATAATTAATCCCCTCCCTACATATATCTTTCTTGCAGGTGAAAAGGTAAATAATATGTTGAGCTTTTACCATCATGGCATCATCAACCACTGATAATTAACCCCATTATGTTCCAATTTAATTATTAAGTTTTCAGCTTCTTAAGCATCTCTGATATCATCTCACAAGATATAATGACACAAATTAAAGTACGTACATTCACGGGATACATGCATGTAAAATCAGGTAAAAAGAATTACGGAATAACTTTTTTTTTATTCATAGTTTAATTTGTAATTATTGTCTTCTAATTTCAGTTTTGCTTTTGGTTTTCAAAAAAAAAAAAAAAAAATCATTTTTTTGGATGACATAATATTTATAGTTACTATCTGAAAGTATGTATAAGGTAAATTTCGCTCTTATATAATAGTATGCAAAACTCCACAAACCATATAATTAGAGAGGTAAACCATAATTTGAAGACCTTGTGTGATGAACTCGGACAAGATAATGTTGGAAAGAATTGAACTTATAACTTCTAATACGAGAATTATGTTTTAGTAACCCTTGGGATTTTAATTTCAATTTGTAGATTGTGAAACATGTTTCAATTAATTAATTAACGAGTTAATACCCAAAATAGTCCCTCGACTATGTCGTAATTACCAATTTGGTCCTCGACTATCATTCTTACCCAATTAAGTCCTCAACTATACAATTTTTACCCAATTTAGTCCTTTGTCAATTTGACTGTTTGTTGACTGTCAAATGTGGAAATAAAGTTGTAATTTTACAAGTTTTCTCCTTCCTCCGCATTTAGCAGCGCTAAACCATGTAGCAATAAGCTCCGGTTGGGTTCTAAACCTGTCAGTATCAAAGTAGTGGTTGTACATCGGATAGCCCATGAATTTGATTTTCAACGATTTTTTGACGATCGAAATCTGATCGGAGTGTATTGCTGCATGGTTTGGCGCTGCTAAATGGAGAGGAAGGAGAAATCTTGTAAAATTATAATTTTATCCCGACTTTTGACAGTCAACAAACAGTCAAATTAATACAGAGGACTAAATTGGGTAAGAATTGTATAGTTGAGGACTAAATTGGGTAAGAATTGTATAGTTGAGGACTTAATTGAGTAAAAGTTACATAGTTGAGGACTTAATTGGATAAGAATGATAGTTGAGGACCAAATTGGTAATTATGGCATAGTCAGGGGACCATTTTAGATATTAACTCATTAATTAACTATTATTCATTACTTCAATCATCGATGTCATTTTTTTTTAATATTTTTTTTTTAGATGAAGAGAGAAATCTGTAACCATTATTCGAAGGTGTGTATTGGATAAACCTAGCCAACAAACCATATAAGAAAGATAAATTGCACTAGAAAGACCTTATGTGATAAGCTCAACCGAGGGCATGTTGGCGAGAGATATCATAACTCTTTAGTCATAGGTTTGAATCTCTCTAAATGTTACAGTATATTATATATACTCTTTATTTATAGGTTCATTTTTAATATAATACCTAAAAATAGATTTATAGTGCGCAAAAAAAAAAAAAAAAAATCTTCAATATACTAAAATAAACATTAATTAGCATTCCATAGTATAATGTGCTGCGCAACGAGCATTGAAGAATTATTTCAATTACAAATAAAATTTTCTATGCAAACACTTGATATTATACTTGCATGTAGTAACTGTGTACCTTTTGATCAGACCATGAGATGTCTTGAGCAAGCCTTAACTGTAGCAAAAATGCTTGGAGAAGCAACACTACGCTACATGGTATTATTTTTGGTCGGTGACAACTGACAAGGAAATCTTATAGCCACAACTCGATGGTATATATAGGGTAAATCTCGTTGATATATAATAGGTCACAAACCAATCATATAAGATAAAATAAATCATACTAGGAAAACACTGGTTCATGGAATATTAATTTGAATAATCTTTGGTTGGGTACTCGGAGGGACAAGAAGACCCACTGTATAATTGCAACTGTCCTATTTCACATGCTTGCCATAGGTCTGGCTGGTCTGCATCAATACTCACTGGTCACTGCTGGTGCATTGCATACACACACACACACACACACACACACACACACACACACATATATATATATATATATATATATATATATATATATATATATATATATATATATATATATATAAAGTACAAAGACTTTATAGCCAATGCACGAATGCATAATTTCCTATTCCCATCTGGGACCCACCCCCACAAGGATCTATATGCAACATGTAGAATCATGAGTACAAGCAAGCAACATGTATATGTTTTGGGTTTTCATGAATCATGACAATGGAAGTGTTGTGATTAGCCATTGCTAATGGAAAGGAAAGTTCCCCACACTCAATTTTGAAATTAGGAATAAAAACTTTGGCCCTGTTTGGTAAAATGGCTGTTAGCTAATGTTTGAACCAAGATGTCTTGAGGGTGAAAGGAAAGTTCCTCGAGAATAGATTAAATTGCACCTTAATATTTTTATATATTATATGCTCAATGGAACTGTTGTTTGGTCTTGAACAGACCAAGTTGAATATATTATTTCATCAATTTATTGTGTTGCACAGAGTCTTGAAGGAGAGCTGACACACAAATTCTATCTCAAGAAAACTCCCAGTCCATGTGACCTGTCTGTTAGCATGAATCCGCCCACAAAATACAATGACCATAAAAGCACAAAATTACCTTCTGCTTAGCACTTCATGGTAACTCAATCTTCCATTGGGTTTGTATTTTGTTCCATCTTTTCTGTCACTGTTTTAGAGGCAATGATAATGTACATCACTATGTAATTGTATGCAGCAGAGTTTTATAAAAGGAAATGTGATTGGTGGGGGCAACCTCAGCCAAGATGGCTAAGGATACAAACTTGTAACCATAAGGTCACAAATTCGAATCCCAGCCTTCTTGGTTTGAGCCAGTCAGCTATGAGTAACCTAGACTAGTTTACCCAGTGTCCCAGTGCACTCTCGGGTAGTGGCTGCAGGTTTTTCCCTCGTCACCCCAAACTTGTAACCATAAGGTCACAAGTTTGAATCCCAACCTTCTTGGTTTGAGCCAGTCAGCTATGAGCAACCTAGGCTAGTTTACCCAGTGTCCCAGTGTACTCTCGGGTAGTGGATGCAGGTTTTTCCCTCGTCACCCCAAATGTGATTGGTGTAAGAAAATGGCTAATGCATGCCGGGGATGGTTCAGAAAAGAAAATGATGGGTGGTGTTGATGAGTTTTGCACAATGGCCCAAGAAAATTTGGTATCTTCAATCTCTGTGGAGAGAGTATGGCCATATATGACACATGGCCAAAGCGAATTCATAGGGCGTGGTATATTTTTGTCTTTATTTCCTGCAGTTGGGATATTTGCGGTACATGGGCATTTCAACAAGTGATCCCAAAGCAAACAGCAGGCAGAACTAAAACTGGTCAACAACAATAATTGAATGTGAACAGCGATTTTAAGCAGTGATTCGACATGCTGGGACATGGAGAAGATGGCAACTTGTGCACAAGGAATCAGAAGAGTACCTTTTAAAGTTTGGAAGTATGAGGTGGTGTGCGTCTGGTGAGGGCGATTGCGGTCTTGGAACCCAAAGGCCGGCCCAAATGCTTGCAGATGAAGTCCCCTGCCAGCATGAGCTTTTGGAGATCAACGTTTGTCCTCACTCCGAGTCCATTCAGCATATATACAACATCTTCAGTCGCAACGTTCCCTGATGCACCTTTCGCATATGGACAACCTCCAAGCCCGGATACAGAGGAATCCACTGTGCCGATTCCCATCTGACAACAAAAGCATCATTCCACATAACTCCACAGTCTCTGAAGGAATGGGGCATTGATGGAAAGTGCATGACAGGGTATTTGCTATTATGATGAAATGTGAGAACTGGACATCTATGACAGTTAAAATAAGTTACAATTGTATATTTCTTTGTAATAATACAACTAGCTGACTGAAGCCACCATATCCAACTGAACTTGCTGTCCTTACAAGCATATTCGTGCAGTGGGAATCAAGAGAATGAGATATAACAGTTTTGTTTTATGGCAGTTTTGGCTGGCATGCAGACCAATGTCTTATGTGGGGTAAACTAAAAGGATCATGTTAACAAGGTTTTAAAGCGAAATTTTGTTTCAATAATCAAAACATTCGCTCTCGCAAGATAAAATTAAGAGAAATTGTGTCAGTAACTTGGGTGTAGATACAGTAAATGTGCACATATGGAACCATTTGAAGCTTTAAAAACCGTGATTTCAGATCAATTTGGCCCTGTTTGGTAAAAAATTGGCCTATAGGCCAATTTTGACTTATTTGACCACTATTAATTGTTTGATTAGTTAAAATATCAATATAAATGTTTGGTTAATTAGCTTTTTGCAACTCCAAAAGGCTAAAATTCAAAAAGCTACTCCAAGCAACTTTTTCAATTAGCTTTTTGAGAAAAGAAATTATACCAAACAGCTATCAACTAACAGCTAATTTATCAAACACTTTTCTACAATCAGCTAATGTTATCAACTATTTATACCATCTAATTAACATAATCAGTTAACAGCTAACAGCCATTGTACCAAACAGGGCTACGTGTTCATAACATAATACATGACAGCCATCAGCGGGGATTGATCGCTTACCTGTAATGACACGAGAATGTTAGACAGAGCTTGGCCATAAGTGTCGTGAAAATGGACAGCAAGCTTCTCCACGGGAACAACTTCGCTCACGGCTTCAAGCATGGGAATGACTGTACCTGCATAAAGAAGCTGCAAGTCAGGGAAGAAATTAAAGAAGACGGATTAACTACCTAAGCAAGTTCAAAACTTTAACTAGCACAACGAGCTTTAATCGGGATATTAATGGAGGAAAAACAGTTGATCATTACCTGGAGTACCAACCCCAATTGTATCACCGAGAGAAATTTCAAAGCAGCCCATATTTAGAAGTTCCTTAGCAACATATGCCACTTTTGAAGGAGGTACTGCTCCTTCCACTGGACATCCTACAACACACGATATATATCTGGAGAAAAATAATATTATGTTTCATCTAAAAGCGGAGAAAACAAAGCGGGCATCTAGAGTAATAAAAAATTCAACCCGTATAGATCCCAGAAAACTAAAACTAAACCACATAAAAGACTTCAGTCACTGGCAAAACTGCAAAAGAGAACTTCAGCATAAAAAACGGATTGTCTGTGTATATACATATATATAGTTATATAAATATACATTGATATATAAACCGAGATGAACCCAACTGAAGCATGTTATACATAACGAATGAGATCTGATGACTGATTAAGCATGTTATACAAAGGCAACTCATTTACAAGAAGGCAAAATAAACAAAATGACCAAGACAAACAAAAGAATCTTGTAGGGTATGTATATAAATATATGAAAAAGAAAAGTACTTTTAAAAAACGAAGTCAAAAGAATCAACCTACAACATTCTGGGTACCAATTTAATTAAGAGTATGTAAAAATATTAGAAGGCATACCCACGAACAGGAATGGAATGATTTTTAGCAGCAAGAGCAACATCACGATAACGAGCGAGACTCTCTTCAATGCTACAATTTATGTTTGACCGAGAAAAGGACTCAGAAGCTGCAGCAAATACTGCAACTTCCTTGGCCCCACTCGACACAGCAGCCTCAAGACCCTGAAAAAAAGACATATAGAAATGACTCCAACACCACATTCATGATTTGACATGTGGCATAGGAATTGCTAAAACATCCAATTTTAAATAATAATAACAACCATATTTTTAAGAAAGTCCATCTATACAAGAAACTCACTTTCAGATTTGGTGTCAAAACTGGAAATCGCACGCCTGCAATGTTTTGAATTGCTTGAATTACATCCTTTGCATCAGCAAGCTGTACATTACGAAAGCATGTTTATATTAAAGGGAGAGAACTCCATCATTCTCTTCACAAACAACCATGCCAGTTAGGAATCTTAAACCTTGATGACAATAATAGTAAACTAGAATAGCTAACTATACCTATAATGAGAAAGAAATAAAATGCTAATGTATAATCTCACTCAGAGGCACACCTGTATGTTTGCTTCTAATCCCATAAAATAAAAAACACAGGACTTACTAGTGCAAGGACAATTCTATTCCTCAGAAAATCTGAAACAAAGTACACAAACCTTGAGCTAAGGAAGACCAATCACCTTTGGAGGAAGAACATATTACATATATGACATCGCTTACAGTACAATAAACCATTGATCATGCACTGACTACAAGCAAGACTGAATACCTGTGGTACCCACTTCGGTGACACAAAACTAGTAGCTTCGACGACTTCCAGCCCCGCAGAAACAAGCATTTGTATTAGTTCAACTTTCACACTTGTAGATATGATCTCCTTTTCATTTTGCAACCCATCTCTTGGACCTACTTCTACTATCCTCACAAATTCAGGCAAAGATCCCAATACCTAATTAATTCAAAACTAATTAGACGGAAAAAAGAACAAACTAGAAAGCATACCACACCTCATGTAGAACTTGGGTAGTAATATAAAAGGTTCAAAAAACATATGACTAGCTGGCAATGTACATATTAACATACTTTAGAAAATTAGAAGGTACCTTATTTAAGCCTACACCATGTCGTGGATTCAGTTGTGTGCTATAACAATGATGCAACATATGGAAAGCATTATGTGTGGTTCCAGTAACACTAGTTTCTCGGGTAAAGGCAGGATTATGTGAAACTCTATTCGTTTGCCTTTGCCATAGATATACTCTTCCATTGTCTTCCTCCCTGCTAAAGAATACTTTGTTTTGCTATCACATAGAAGTGGGGAGGAGGAGGGGGGGAGGGAGGGGGGGGGTGGGGGGTGGTGGGACCAACTGCTTCAAAATATCATTAAGTAATTACAAAACTAAGAGACCCACTAAGACTAATAAGATCTATCAACACAAGCAGCTAACTCCTTAATATCAATTTTAATTCTCATTCCAAGACTTGAAAATATAGTCAAATTAGCTTCAGATATTTTGATTGTATTCTCTGGCAGGAAGAAACATACCAACAAGCTACCATTTCAACATATATTCAGAAATGCATTTAACTAACAAATGGAAAAAGTTAATATAGAAGCAACGAGATACATACGTCATAGGACCACAATGCTAGTTTGATAGAGAATATAGAACTCTGCATAAGAAATTCATAAATCTGTTCTCTTAAGTCTTAAACATCAAACTATCTGCTCCAACCAATTAAAGGCTAAGAATTTATTAATTTTACTGAGAAGTTGCCCCCTTGTCCAATTTCGAGACAACAGGTGCCTAAATACCTAAATATAACATCATTACCTACTACAATTGAGCTGTGAAATCATGAAAGAAAGCATCCAGACTGCTAAATGAATGCTTTCTGGAGAAACATACATCAATATTGCTTCTAGATCATTATTATTATAAAATATATATAATCTGACTTCATGTAACATATTTAAGTATTTCCATCCTATAAAGTAACAAAGGACACAATAAATTCACAGACACACTTAATTATGCAATAAACAAGCTTATACTGACTTCCACCGAAAAACTAAATGAAGTTCGAATAAATATGTGTGTGCTTACTCCATTTTACTCGAAGAGAACCGCTTCCCTTGTTCACCCTTGAAATTTTGGAGTTCCATTTCAGGAACACTGCCTAGAATATCATTACCAAATACACTGCAAGCACCAAATCTCAACCTCGAAAATTTCCTGACAGCCTTATGTGATAACATTGGATCACAACTTAATGTGTTGAAACAAACAACAGCTTATTCCAGATGTTTACCTACCACAAAGTAGCAAAATTTCAGTTTTATAGCACAATATACTTCTCTACACACTGCCATTAACTAGAATTAACAATCATTCGAGCATAACCTGAATTCAGTTATGTAAAAATAAGCAAATAACCAGGAAAATAGCAGCTCCTAAATCTTCTTTATTTGATTTTATTTTTTTAATCATCGATCAATTTTCAATCCGAAGCATTAAGAGCGTGACTTCATACTCAATTAATTATACAAAAATAAAAATAATAAAAAAAAAAACAAATCAAATACTCGGGAAGTGTAATCGATCTCGAACCTTCAAAGCTTATCTGTTCTGAGATTCAGTAGAGCTACGGAGCAGAAAAAACTCAAAGTTTAGCACAACCAGCTGAAAATATTGCAATTTTATGGAGAAATTTGCGAACAAATTCATAAGCGTGTTTCAGTTTTCGGGTTCAAAAAAATTTGGACCATTTCTCGATTTGTGCGTGTCATCCTTGCGCAGGGGCCATGCTAATCTTCTCTGTATCGTTCCAATTTTATCGGATGTCTCCGAAGAGACGATCATCGCTCTGAGTCTTCAGTATATATAGCGTGCAAGCGAAAGTCTTGTAGCCGATGTGGGAGATGTAAGATGTTGAACGTTAGCCCAAGAACAACGCATACCGGCCCAATACACTAAACCACCACCTGGGCCGCATATGTGGCCTTTCTACTTCTCTTGTTTTCTTTTAAATAATTTTATTTTTATGTAACATTCCAAGAAAATAACCTATGACCTATAAACTTCTTCATTTTTATTTTTAAAAATAGAACTTAAATATAAACATTAAAATCTTCCTTGAACCAATGGTATAATAATCCTATATATAATAAAGCCATATGGTCTTGTGAAAATTAAATGGTGATCATCAACATTTAATTTTCACAAGACCATAATAATATTGTTAATTATAATAACAATAATAATAATAATAATAATAATTACAATAATAATAATGATAATAATTTTCACTGACAGTTTCTAATATATATATATATATATATATATATATATATATATATTTATTTATATATTTATATATTTATATATTTATATATTTATTTATTATATTTATTTATATTTCAATTTCTACTGGCAAATTATTGTGTGAACGATGGTTCACATAATTGTAGGGATCATGAATATCAAATACATTTTTAATATATTAAAAATACATTATTTTTATATTGAAAGTACCTTACATACATATATAATGTACCCTTAGTAATTTAAAATATACTTTTTATTTCATGCAACCCCAAAGTTCATAAGTTTGAAATTAATATATGGCATAGCTAGGCGGCCTAATATTTAAAATTGTTGATGTGCATATTGAGGACTACGGAGACAAAGATGCGTTATTCGTGGATTCATCGGATACTATCCAACAACACTCTCCAACTTAATTGACATGAAGTAGGCTTAATAACATTAAGATTATATTCTCGAATTATTAGTTCTCATCGTTTATTGATTACACACTTAATTCGATAGTATTTGGAAGAAAAAATCAATGTTCGAACTAAGATTGTGATTTTGGTCTTTAAAGGTCAATTGTACGTTGTCACATCTAGAGTTAGAAATCTCAAAGGTCTAAAATTTTTGATCCGTGGTGACTCTAAAATTGTAATTCAATTACTATTGTAATTTACTAAGTTCTTAAAAATTTGTAATATTAAATACTATGTACTAAATTTTTAATATAGTTTAAGATTTGTAGTAATCACCCACCTTAAATATTATTTTAATTATAAATATATTTATGTTCATAATTTTATCATAGGAATTCACACATAATAATTATTAAATAACAAAAATTTTATATATGAATAAACCTCATACATGGTATATTTTTATAACATATTTTTCGTGCATCGCACGGGACAAATACTAGTAATAATAATAACAACAATAATAATTACGAGGACGACTCGTAGCAAGTGAGTTTAATGTGGTACATTTTGATTAACAAAAAAAAGTCATCGTGGTTAAGGAAATTTGGTATCATGTTAATCACCTAAGGCAACTTCATCTATTAAGGATTTTGTTGGATTTTTACGGTGACACTAGGAAATAAAAAAATAATTAACATTAACGCGCACAACTAGTCGGGCGCGGATGTGTGCCAAACACGCGCCTAGGCGGTAGCTTTTCTTTATTTTTGTCAGCATCGATCCCATAAAGAACTTGAACTAGAAGGAGATAAAAATCATCCCGCATAACCAAAAAAAAAAAAAAAAAAAAAAAAAACATCTTTAAACTTTTTTCTTGCAAAAAATCACTGATTTAGTTAGCCTAAGCGTTATATATCTGTCTAAGTGTCCATATTCCGTAGGTTACATCTCTCGATCTTCCTGGTCAATCGGGAAGCACTACCCGATTACCCGTGTAGTTTCCATGCTTATTATTCGAGTTATTGAACCGTCAAACTGTCTTAAAATATAGTAGTAATAATTATAATATTATTATATTAATTTGATGTCAAATCAAGAATAGATAGATATAACCCGCATGGGTAGCTCAACTGGTCATAGAGGTGAAATTTTAGAATAATGACCAGGGATCGAGTCTCACCAGCGGCAGTGAGGGGGTCTCCTTGTGCGCAGTGCGCACCGATCTAGCCCCTGTGATTGATGTTCAGTTGAGTCACCATGATTTACAACCTCCCACCTCCCACCACTCTGTCGGGTCGGGGTGTGGGGGCCCTAAAAAAAATAAAAAATACAAAAAAAAGATTTGGAATAAGAATAGATAGATATATAAGTTAGTGTCAACAACAACAATGTATTATAGGTATGATGTGACATCCAACAATACGGTCCATGTGATTATCTGGATGTGCATGCCTATATAACTATAATTCAATGCAAACACCTCCCTTCAACAACCAAAAACACTAACGGCTGCGAAATAAGTGGTTGATCACCAACAAATGCTTCGCCTGGAAAAAGACCAATAATAATCTTCTTCCTATTCCCTAGATGAAGACCATTGTTATTTGTCCAGTAAGATGGAATCCATGGTTCTTCATCTACTAATTTGAACAAAGACTTGTGATTATTTGATGATGGGTCTTCACCGTTGATCTCTCAACGACGATACTCTCTTCGTTTGTAGTTATAGCTGTCATGGTAGTAGGGGTGTTTATAATTCGGTGAAAAATTAGTAAATCAAATCAATAATTTTGATTATATGTTTCTTAATGGGCATATTTCAGTTTGGGATTAAGGATTTTTTTAAACAATTTTGGTTAACAAAGTTAATTAGGTTCAGAAGTGTGGGTTAACCAAATTATGTGTGTGTATATATGTTATTATTTTTTAGAATACATAAATCATACTATTAGATTAATTTTTCAAATTTTATTATTTATGCAATGACTATTTTGTGATGTGAAACCATAGGCCTACAATTGTTTTTTAAAAAATTGTACACACATAAACATGAATACCACATATTAATCAAGTCAGCGCTTTAAATATTGTTTAATATTAAAATCTAATTGCACTATTATGTTTAGTTTGAGATTCACTAAAAAATCAAAAAGTTGCGTGTTAATCTAGCTACTGCATACTAAATATGCAACATTAGCACCTAATTGCAGTATTATGTTAGTTAAGGATACCTAGCTTATTTAAGGGAACATCAATTTTAAAAGAAAAGTATGAGGTGACATATGACCTAATTAATGGTTACATACAATAGTTACGTTGGTGAAATGAATCTAATTGTCTTGTTTCTTTTACAAGTTTATATATGTACATTTAAAGTTGTTTAAAAAAATTCAAGAATTAACCATTTAAAACTAGAATCACATTATTCCAATTTTATAATTTTTATAACTAGAATTAGTATTGATAGGGAATGATAAATACCCGATAGGAGTACTCAATTGGTGTGCCCGGGCAAGTAGTTGGAAGATGTAGTCGGTCAACTAGTCAGTTCTAAGCAAGTCAGGGGACTGCCAAGCTAGCATGGGAAGATATCTGAGAGGAGCATTCGGAGAATATTGAGAAAACCTGTTGTTAAATTCTCTCTGTTTTCCCTCTTCCATTTTAAAAAGGAGATCTCATATGTTAGGAAGAAAATTCAAACTTGATTTGGAGAAAGTTTCCTAGTCAAAATTTGTAATTCATTTCCTTTCCTTCTTAGAGCTAGACATCTATGTATAAATACCAAGGTTGTAAAAATTGCTAGGCGCTTGGGGACCGCCTAGGGCGCTTAGGTGGCCAACCGCCTTGCGCCTATGCGTAATTTTTGCAACACTGATAAATACCCTTCGAGGCCGGATAGATTGTAAAGGGTTCGAATACTACTTTATGACAATAAAAATTACTTTAGCATTGTTTACTATAGTGTTGCTTGCCGACCGGCTATCTCAGTCATAAAACTAACAAGTGCCATATAAATTCCAATTTTACATTACATAATTCGATCCAAATCAAATTCAGGTTATCCCTAGTATAAAAGGAGGATCGAAGATTACATATTAATCTGCATAACCGGCCAGATGAATAAAGCCATAAACTACCAAGCTTTAAGAGATTGTAACATCTAAACCTCTTCACAAGAATCAACTATTGTCCTCTCAAATGCTATGTTGAGCCCGGGTGTGGGAGGTACTTGGGATTGGAAATTAACCTTTTGAGAGAAAAAGAACCAACTATTGTTTCAAAGAGAGGAGAAGATAGGCACACCAGGCAGTGTATTTCCAGCGTCAACTATGTAAGTATTTCCAGAAATATATTCAGAGGAGTCGTGGATTAAGTAACGTACAAGTGACGTCAGTGCAGGATTTGACGTGCCAAATGTTCTCAAAGGTACAGTCCTGAGAGCAACCTTATTGAGCCAATCTTTCTGCATGAGGCCATCCGTTATCTCGGATTTGAAGAGCCCTGGCGATATGGAGTTCACTCTTATCTTGTTTGTTCCTAATTCAAGTGCCATCACCTGCCAACCATTTCAGAACCAAAAACATGTATAATCTTTTATGCTAACATAGTGAAGGAGTTAAACTGTGGTGTCACTACCTACAAATCCTATAGCTATATTAAAAAGAGTGGACCTTATAGGTGCCTAGCACATAGATTCGCTGTTAGCAAAACATAGTTACTAATGCTCTTTGAATTTTTTTAATTAGTTGATGTTGTCTACAAAAGGTAAAATTTCGTTCGACCCAAGGTCTTTATATCCTGACCCGACAAGATAATGGACGGATACATCGAGATTATATATGTTGTCAGCGAAACAAAGTTATTAACTCTTTTTTGAATTTTTTAACTAGTTGAGTTTACCCACCGAAGGCGAAATCTCTGAATTCAAGGCCCTCACACCCCGTCCCGACAAGATGGTAGATGAGTAAATTGAGATTCTATACTCAGCAACTGTCAATGAAACATAGCTAAGCTATTAACTCTCTTTGAATTTTTCAACTAGTTGAGCTTGCCCACAAAAGGTGAAATCCCTCGTCTTAAGGGCCTCTCACTATGGCCCGATAGGATGATGAAAGACCCTAAAAGATGGTAGAAGGATAAATCACAATTAATTCAACGGCCTCTTAAATGGGAGGATCCATGCCTGATGTCCACAATGAATTCACTATACTGAGTATAAAACTATAAATCCACTCACCGTTGTCTAATTACAATCCTACAACTTGCCCACAATCTACCATCTTAATTGCCCGTGCGGACTTTAACTAGTTGAGCTATAAGGCAATCTAAGTAGCTTTACTAGCAAGTGGAGGTTGAAGATGACCAAAAAAACAAAAAAAACAAAAAACAGCACGCAACATGTTTAGAAAAAGGAAATTCGGAGAAAGAAAAAGTGGTACCCTTGTGAGTGCGTTAACAGCAGTCTTTGAAGTAGTATAGGCAAGGCCTCCTGGCAACTGCCCACGGTTAAGTCCAGAAATGGAAGAGATGTTGACGATAGATCCTCCAAACTTAGCGTTACACATGCGCAAGCAAACATATTTCGAGACCAACCATGTGCCAGTTAGGTTTGTTTTTGTGAGATCATTCCACTCTTCCTCTGTTAGATCCAATGGAGTGTGTACTCGACCTGTGTTTCATCATCAAACATTATTAGGCCTTATCCTGAAACTATTGCCCTATCAAAACTAACAGTTCGATTTCACATATATTTTGCACTTCATAATTTTATATAATAAAGTTTTTATCCGCACAAGCAGTTCAGTGAGTTCTTGAGTGATAGATTGTAGACAATGACACAGGATTAAATTGACATGGTCTATCAAATTTCTACTTATTGTTTGCCAATTGTTTGCTATTAACTTCACGAGAATTCCGTTATTTATTACACCGCTTTGGAATTTATATACAGAGTTTTCTTTTTCAAATAAAATTAAATGCAAGCCATTATCTGTCCCTGTCCCTTATCATGGCGGTGGGAAACAAATCGAACTGTAACTCCATTAATGCAGTTATGGAGATAATAATTAATTAAATTTCATGAAACGAGAGTTGAATCGGATCGTGGAATTACCTCTAACGCCGGCATTGTTAATCAGTGCGTCGATCCGCCCAAATGCATCCCAAGCCCTCTGAACGGCCGCCTCAATGGCCGGACCATCAGCACTAACGTCGAGCTCAATGGCCACTGCTCGGAGCGGCGTGCCGGAACCGACTCCATTGATCTCGTCGCAGAGCGACTTGAGCCGGTCGACACGGCGCGCGGCGGCGATGACTCTGCAGCCGGCCTTGGCCAAGTCGAGGCTGATCTCTCGGCCGATCCCCGACGACGCTCCGGTCACCATCGCCACCTTGCCGGTAAGTTCCCGCCATGGCTCCAGGTGGCGCGCCACTTTCACACGGCTCTCCATTTCGCTTTGCGGTAAGAGGGAGAAGCAGAGGCATTTATAGGTCACGGGAGAATGGAGGTGAAGAAGATGCTGCAAATTTAAATACTTCAAAATTACAATAATCACCCAACACCTCACCATAAACTCTGACCGGGTGGGATTAACTATGGAGGACAATATTGTCATTGCAAAAACTAACGCGAAATTGATGATAAAGTGAATGGGCAAAATCCAATTTGAACACTCTTAATTATGACGTAATTACTATTTATGTCATCGCTTAAGTATTTTTTTGAATATTTTTTCTTTAGTGGATCCAATAAAGCATAGAGTCAAATACTCAAATGCAATGAATACATCAGAACTTATATTTTGAGCCACCACACTACTACTTTGAATTATGTTAAAATGATTATATTTATACAAATAGTCAATTTAAGTTGGGTAACAATTTTTTAATATATAAAGAAAGAAATATCAAATAATAAATGTTACATAAATTATGATCAAGATAAACTCATGCAATTAATATAATCATATTATAATCGTTAAAAGTGAACACATATCATTTGCAATGACAATATTGTCCTCCATAGTTATGGAGAACAATAAGTGATATTCTCCCCACCACCACCAATTTAATTATAAAGAGGGTAGATGTTAGCCCGATATGTGCTATGTGTGGACTTATGGATGAAAATGCTATGCACTCATTGGTTTTGTGTGATTATGCAAGAACCATATGGATCAATCCAACCTTCCACTTTCCCATTTTGTGACGAATATTTTTCAAGAATGGTTTAGAACGATCTTAAATGTTCTAGACACTAATGAGATATTGTTTGCAGCTGCAATTTTATACAATATTTGGAGAGCTCGGAACGAAGCAGTCTGGAATTCATGTTTACCCATGCCGAAGAAGGTCCTCGCGATGGCTATAACAATAATGCAAGCGTGGCAGCAAGTGCATCACTCCACCACGCCAGCTCTGGCTTTTTCACATGTCGGCGATCCACAGCAGTCGCTTCCTGTGCAAACACTACCCGCCCATACTGCCGGAACAGTAACCACGCGGCCCAAGCACTGCTTTGTCGATGTTGGTTACAGGCAGCAGTCAGGTTCAGCCACATTAGGTGCAATCTTGTTCGACGATCACGGAGGATATATAGCGGCTTACAGTGCGCCCTTGCACAACTGCTTCTCGCCACTTATGGCCGAAGCTATGGCATGCAAAGAGGTGTTGTCATGGCTCCGAGCAAGTGGGGAAACTTCGATTGAAATATTCACGGACTGTCACACACTCCAGGCACATCTGTCCTCTACTGAGACTCGGTCTCGATCTTATCTTGGCTATGCTCTTAATGCTTGCAGAGCATATATGACGATGCTTAATTATTGTTCAGTTAATTTTATCCCTAGATCGCAGAATTACTTAGCGCATACATTAGCTTCAGATGCTTTTAATTACGATTCACCTATGTACTGTGATACCATCCCACAGACTCAGTTTCAAGTTATCTATAAATGCAACCACATTGGTTTCCTAAAAAAAATACATATCATTAGGTGAGTGATAAAAAAAATACAAATAGTCAATTTAAGTTGGCTAACAATGTTTTAATATATAAAGAAAGAACAATCAAATAATAAATGTTACATAAATTATGATCAAGCTAAACTCATGCGATTAATATAATCGTAATATAATCGTCAAAAGTGAACGCATATCATTAGGTGAGTGATAAAAAAAAAATATAGAGATCCAACAATTATAGATTATTAAAAGAGTTAATTCTATTTTTGATCCTAAATTTATAGGTGACAATCCACTTTTAGTCCTTTTAATTAGAACATTCACATTTGGTCCTAGTATTATTGTTGCAGGACCATTTTTAGTCATCTATCAAAAAAATCGTTGAAATATCATTAAATACAAATGCATTTTATTTATTTTTTATAAAAAAAATAGGTTTAACAGCAATATTTTTTATATTTAATTTATTTTTTTTGAAAATATTCATAATTAAATATTAAAATACTCATATATTTAATGATATTTAAACTGTTTTGTTGATAAAGGACAAAAAATAGTCATGTCACAATAATACTAGGACCAAAAGTGAATGTTCTAATAAAAATGGACTTAAGGTGGGCTGCCACCTATTAGGAGAAAAAATGAAATTAACTCTTTTTTGAATGAAAAAATGGAATTAACTCATTATTAAAAAAAAATTGTAATATAATTTAATGTTATATAAAATTTAACTTAATTACCATTAATCAATTATTTAAAATATTACATATTATCTATTGATAAAATTTTGCAACATCGACAATACATTCGATTGCTACTATAAATTAAATAAACAACTACACACCGACCCCTCGTAATTTATCTTCCTAATATGATACTATATAATTAGATTCTTTAATATTTGTTTAAAAGCATATGAAGTTACTACATCATGAGAACAATTTATAATAGAAAATAGCTTTTTTTCATAAAGTAATAGTTATATATGTGTATGTTACAGCCTTTTTTAATTTATAATAATAAATACATTATTTTTTTAAAAGTATTATAGAATTTTTGTATATATATGTTACCTTATGTTTTTACCCTTCTAAATTAAAGTAAATGGGAAATCTTTGGCACAAACCACGTGATTGTGGACAAAAATTAGGGTGTGTGTGGATGGTAGGAGAATCATTAGGGGCAAATTATGTTGTGCATCTGTATGCACCAAGCATGGTGCATACCGATGCAAAAATGACGTCGTTTTTATAAAACGCGCGTCTCCCCTTTAAAAAAAAAAAATTAGGTTCGAAACTATAATTCCGTAATCGATGAACTATAATTCCATAATCGATGAACTATATATAATTCCGTAATTGATGAACTATAATTCCATAATCTAATCTATGAACTAAAATTTTCAGAATGAATGAACTAAAATTCCAGAATCTATGAACTAAAATTTCAAAATCGATGAACTATAATTCCAGAATCGATGAACTATAGTTCCATAATCGATGAACTATAATTCCATAATCCATGAACTAAAATTCCATAATGAATGAACAAAATAATGTTGTTACTAGGAATCGAACCTGATTTTTTTTTTTAAAGGGGAGACGCGCGTTTTTAATAAAACGACGTCGTTTTTGCATCTGTATGCACCATGCATGGTGCATACAGATGCACAGCATAACTATTCATCATTAGGTGCCTAGGTGGACAAAAAAGTCATCAGAAGAATGTTAGGTGTAACTTTGAAAATGGAATTTAAATGTTTTTTTGGTAATTCATATATTTTTTTTATCACACTATATTATAGACTTTATTATGTTATTGTTTACATGAACACTTTAAGTGCATGCTTACTTTTTCCTTTTTAGGACTTTAAAAAAAGGATAAATAAAACGCATACTAGACCAATTGGTAAATGGTAATATTGATGAGATAGTATGAGTTTTTTTTTTTTTGGAATCCATCATGTATATTATCGGATAGGTCAGACACACATTATTACAACTATTTATATTTATTGTATGTATGGTCACATTAGACACTTGTTCTATACACACACCAGTACTCATCACTCATGTATATTCATTGTGCGTCCTAAGACAATGGTCTAGTAGATGAGCAGTTGCACTTAAAATTCTTTTTTAATAATAAGATTAATGTTGAGTTCTTTATAATATGCAAAAAAAATATAATTTGGTGCGGACTCAATTTAATTTTTCATTGACTTGTAAGCATGTTTATGGGATCCAAAATATACTCTGATAAGGTAGCAAAGTTGTGATCATTTTTGTCAAAAAATTTATTATTTTATTAAAACAAATTAATGGCTATGATGATTTTGATGGACAAGGAAGATGATGTGTGGTATTCGTCCATTGGGAGAAAGTCAAGTTAGGATTGCCTCCTTTGGGAAGAGACAGAGAGTTAAGTTAGGATTGATGTAGACAAGATTCTAAAATTATATAAGAATTTTTTTTTTTCTTTTTTCCTTCTTATCTTTCCCTCCTCTCTCTCTCCTCAAAAACCATCCCCAAAAGCCCACTATAAGGATGTCCTTACATGTTTGTCCGTCCTTTGTCAATAATTCATGGTTCAACAAGAAGTTTAGAGTTTTGATAGGTTTGTTCATCAAATATTAATTGAATAATTGGTTATTGCCTCTTTCAAATTGCGTTTTTCTAGTCATAGGGGCTTAGGAAGTTGCAAAGCAACATTTCACTATTTGGAAGGAGCATGAACAGAGTCAGAAATTCGGTTGAGGGGGCCGAAGAAGTACGGATGGGGACCACATAGACTTCAGCTTCATCTATAAGTTAAGCTTCTGAAAATTGAGGGCTGCTTTCGGTAACCCTTTTTCACTAGCTCTAGGCGTCTTACCTATATGGAGGGGGATACAAGCGCCCTTCTTCGGGCCTTTTGCCTTTGTGATCACCTTGATGCCTTGATGTGATGACCACACTTGCTAATTAGTGACATTGACAATATTATTATTCCCAAAACCCTTTTTTTTTATTTATTTTTATTTTAGTGGTTCACTTTTTACAGCTTATATTTTAACATTTACGATTTAAATTTAAATTTTAGTTTTTTCTGTTGATTTTATAAAACTTATCATGTTTGCATATTTAGTGAAATTGATGATAATTACGAAAAATATCACCATATCTACTATATATACTAATAAGAGCCCAAGAGAGTTATAGATATACTAATAAAGTCCAAGAGAGTTAGGCGTATAATAGGTAGAAAAAATGACGGTAAAATTTTTTAATCAAATGAATGGTTCAGATTGATCAGATTTTATTTCTCTTAAGATTTCCAAATTTATCCATTAACTTTTCCGTTAAATATTATCTTTTCCGTTAATTTGTGTTAGTTTACCTGTTAACTTACTCATTGATTTCAATAAAAAGATCTTAGGTTTGAACGACATCCCAATCAAAATTGACATAACTAGTACTCTATTTTACTCTTATATATATATATATATATATATATATATATATATATATATAAGTAAAATCCTCCTATT